GGGGACATAGTCCCAAAAGATGTCAACGCGGCCATTGCCACTATCAAGACCAAGCACACCATGCAGTTTGTGGATTGGTGCTCAACTGGATTTAAGGTAGGGCTGGATAATGTGGGGTTCTTTTTTTTTTTTTTTTGAGTTGGAGTCTCACTCTCACCCAGGCTGCAGTGCAGTGGGACACTCATGGCCACTGCAGCCTTCCACCTCAGCTTCTCGAGTAGCTGGGACTACAGGCGCACACCACACACCCCAACTAATTTTTTGATTTATTGAGACGATGTCGCCAAGTTGCCCAGGCTGATTGCCAACCCCATGGTCAGGCAATCTGCTTGCCCCAGCCTCCCAAAGTGCTGGGATTACAGGCACGAGCCACCATGCCCAGCAATGTGGAGTTTTTATACCTTCTTAGAAGCAGCAGATCTGCCATATAATGCTGTCCTTCAAGGCCCATATCTTTTGGGGTGACTGCCCCATTCATATAAGCTAGGCTGCAAGGATATAAGGCTTAATATTTAATTTGCGACTGGGTGTGGTGGCTCGTACTGTAATCCCAGTAATTTGGGATGCCACTGCAGGAGAATTGCTTGAGTCCAAAAGTTCTCAACCAGCCTAGACAACAGTAATCAAAGCATTAGCTGGTCGTGGTGTTGCACACCTGTAGTCCTAGCTGCTTGGGGGGCTGAGGCACCTGAGCCTAGGAAGGAGAGGATGCAGTGGCCATGAGTGTGCCACTGCACTCTAGCCTGGGTGACAGAGTGAGACCTTGACTCAAAAAAAAAAAAAAAAGAAAAGAAAACCACAATTTACTTTACCCAATACTTTATACTTTACCCAATACTTTATGAACACTTATTTCCTATCCCGGATCTCTTTATCTCTTTAAAGTTTATGGGGAAGTATTACCAGTATCTTACACTTCAGAAGTCTGAGGCTGAGAAAGCTTCAAGTGTCAAAGCCTCATAAGCAAGTGGCAGGGAGAGAATTCAGAGGTGGTCTGCCTGCAGTTCCTAATCTGTCCTCCATGTTACTCTACTAATGACTTTTGACTTTTTTCAAGTTCTATTTCATTATTTTGTGTGTTACAAATGGTAGTTTTTCTACTTTACATGACCTCAGTCACCTGTTGGTGACTGAATTTTGGGCAAAACTAATGTTTTTGAACTTGGAATTTTAAATGCATCATGTATTGTTTGTTGTGGAGATCAAGGGTGGGACCTCTGCCTTGCACACAAAGTCACAGAAAATCATAGCTTCTTTAGCTATGTTTAATTTCACAGTGAATTGTCTACCAAGAGAAAAGCACCATGTACTTGGAAGCCAGATAACAGAATGTCAGAAGTACCTCCCCACACTTGTTTTGGTCAACTTGGTGCCCTCTGTTAACAGCCGTTGTCCACAGTGGCTTTCCATATTAGACCAAGCCGTGGACCCCACATATATACCTCCTGAAGAGTTCTGAAGGTATTGGGGAATTACAAATTCCAGGGTGATCCCAGATTGAAAATGACACAGAAAAGTCACAGTAATGTGTGTTCTGATTGCCATGCAGAATGGACATAGCTTGCCTTTGAACACACTCAACTTGTTCAACCTGTCTGACCCTCTATCAGCCCCACTTTATGGCACCTTAACACAGACCATCTCTATTTCTCATCTTACCTCAATGTAAATCTGTAATTTTTTTTTGTTGTAGATCATCTCTATTTTTAAATTGACAGATTTAAAGTGACTCATAGGAAAGGGTAAAATGTGCAACAGGTTTCATCAACCAGGAAATGCTCATTAAATCTTATGTAGGGTGGGGTGTAGTGGCTCATTCCTATAATCCCAGCACTTTGGGAGGCTGAAGCAGGAAGACAGCTTGAGACTAGGGGTTTAAGACCAGCCTGAGCAACATAGCAAAGCCCCCATCTCTACAATAAAATTTTAAAATTTTTCTGGGTGTGGTGGCATGCGCCCTTGTGGTTCCAGTTACTTGGGAGGCTGAGGCGGGGGGGGGGGGGGGGGGGGGGGGGGTCACTGAGCTCAGGAGTGTTCGAGGTTGCAGTGAGCTGTGATTGCACCACTGCATTACAACCTGGGCAACAGAGCAAGATGCTGTTTCAAAATAATTTTTACATAGGAGGATTGCAGACTTTAGATGTTACAGGTAGGAGGTGAAATCTTCCATTCTGTGTGTCTGATTACCAAGCCTCTAGACTTGAGTAGTGGAATTTTTATTATAACAAGATGAGGACATCCAAGACAGCCTCAACTGGCAGGCACTGGAAGATGCTGTGCCTTGCCCAGGTTCCTTCTCTTAGCTGAATCTCTAGCTCTGTGAGGCAGTAGGGAGGCTGTTCTGTGGGGAAGTATAGAAAGTTGCAGCCTCTGTCCCCACAGAAAACTGTCCTGCCCGGTGGACCTTGTTGACTTATCTTTGCTCTGTTTCTTTTTGTCAGTCTCAGTGTGGTTTAGCATACATTCTTTGACAACCATTTGCTTAGGGATATACGATTTTCAAGGACACTTTTCCATGTTTAAAAACATTGGAGTTTTTGGCAACCCCTTCTGGTGGGAGCTTTTCTGTTCTCTCAATAAATCCTGCTAAAAAAAAAAAAAACTTGGAATTTTTAATCTAAAAATACATGTGGCAAAATATTAAAACACTGCAGAAGACTGAAAAGCTGAAGTCCTCTTCCCCTCACTAGAGCTTTTTCTGTCCTTTGAGATGTTCTTACAGATTCAAAGTACATCAGCCTTTTATTATACAGGAGATGTTAACTGACAGACGCCAGCAGACATGAGTAAAGGGTACACAGTTCTTTCCTGTAGTAAAAGACCCAATCACTGCACACAGATGACCCTAAAGAACAAGAAGCTGGCAGCACTCTCACTTGGAAGGTATGGTGGGAGGGCACTCCTTGACCAGGGTGCAAACTCCTAGGCCCTTCTCCCTGCCCTTTCCACCTCCTCTGGAGCCTGGGTGTGTCTAACTACTGCTAACTGCTTTTTGTTCAACAGGGCAGGTCAGGGCCACTGCCTCAGCATATTCCAGGTGTCTCCTCCAGCAGCTTTTCCCCTAGCTGTCCAAGGCTCTAGTCCTTGTTTCTTGTTACATCGTTTTTCACACATAAATACATAGAATTTAGCTCACTTTTGGATAAAATATACCTTGGACATATTTTTCTGAGGGTAGGGTTATCATTCTTTTTTATGTGTTTTAATATATGACTGTATAGTAATATAAGTGGTTCCCTATGAAAGACACTTGGTTTCCAGTTTGCCATTACAAAAAGTGATTCAAACTATATACATACAATTTTTAAAATAAATATGGCTTTGTTTTCTTATGCAGATAAACCCAAAAAGTGAAAATACAGGGTCAAAGGAAGATTAATTGTTGATAATGCCAAAAAACACAGAACCAATTTTTACAGGACATTATTTAATTTTTAGTGATTTACCATTTAGGAGACCAATGTAAACTTCACTCTGTGTTCCCCTTCTCTGGCAGGCGGGCATCAACTACCAGCCCCCCACCGTGGTCCCCAGAAGAGACCTGGCCAAGGTGCAGCACTCTGTGTGCATGCTGAGCAACACCACAGCCATTGCCGAGGCCTGGGCCCGCCTGGACCATAAGTTCGATCTCTTGTATGCTAAGCGGACCTTTGTGCACTGGTATGTGGGAGAAGGCATGGAGGAAGGGGAGTTCTCTGAGGCCGGTGAGGACCTGGCTGCTCTGGAGAAGGATTATGAAGAGGTAGGTGTCGATTCTGTGGAAGCTGAGGCGGAGGAAGGGGAAGAATACTGAGGGAAGGATGCGGCAGGAAACCATCCTTTTGTGTTTGCCCACCATAACCTTACAAGATAAATTTACCTATTAAAATTTCTGCATTGAGGTATTGTCTTTCTCCTTTGTTATACTTTGACAAAATTCCTTGTCCGGATATCTGCCTTTTCCAACTGGATTTTTTTTCATGTGAATTTCTTGGAGGGAAAAACTATTTGTTTCTTCTCAGAAATTATTAAAGATGTCAGTACATTTAGTTAATGCATTACTCCCAAAGGTGGCTTCAAAATGCTTGGCTGGGGGAATTATGGGGAAATGCTTTATTTTAAATTTAAACCTTCTTGGCCTGGCATGTGGCTCACACCTATAATCCCAGCACCTTGGCCAAGGCAGGAGGCTCACCTAAGGCTGGAGTTCGACTTGGCAACACAAGGAGCTCCTCTATCTCCACAAAAAAATTTTAAAATGTACCTTTAAAAATGTTCCTGGTGTTGTGGTGGTTCCTGTAGTCCCAGCTACTTGGGAAGCAGAAGTGGGAGGACTGCGTGAGCCTAGGAGGTCAAGACTGCAGTCAACCGTGATCGTGCCACCGCACTCTGGCCTGGATGACAGAGTCACACCATCTCTAAAAAAAACACCATCCCCCCAAAACTGGCTGAGGGAATTAGGAAAAAATGCCTTATTTCACATTTAAACCTTTAATTCTTCAGTGGAGTCGCTATCTCCACGCTCAGTCTCTGGGAGGGGTGGAGGAGTCAGGAGGCAGTCCGCCTCAGCGTGTCAGAAGGCTGCACAAACCCAGTTCCCGACACGCCATTTCCACAGACATCCTGAGCTTTTCCCCAATTCTGTCACGTTTCTGCCAGAGGTGACTTAGAGGAAGCGCCTGCCCCTGGCACGCGCTGACCTGCAAATCCTCATCCCTGCACGCAGGAGTCAGTCTGAGCACTGGTTTTTGTCGGGTTTGGGGCAAGTGCCCGGCCCTCGTCGTCTTGGTGCAGAGGCCCCTTGTGCTACCCCAGCCGTGTCTGCGTGTTTATGGACGAGAGCCTCGAACAGATAAACCCACGTGGCAACAACACTGGTAGTAGAGGAAGCTGGAACCACTCGTGAGCGACAACAACCAGCCCGCACTGGCCACTTCCGGAACCTGTCCCGCCCCTCGGCTTGAACACCGCCCTCTCCCGAATCTCTATGGTCCCAACTTCCGCCGCGCGCCACCCCTCGCGAGACTACGGCGGTGCAGCAATGGCGAGACCGTGAGTGCCGCTGATGGGAGTCAAGACAGCCGGTTGGGACGGGGTTGGGGTGAGATCGGGCCGTGGGGGTACCCGACAGGCCAGGGCCCCCTAGGGCGGAGCAGCGGTTGGGGGCGCGAGGCTCCTCTAGTTCACTGGACAACCGCCCGCGACTTAGCTCCCGCCTCTTCCCCAGATGCCGCGTCACTGCTCCGCCGCCGGCTGCTGCACACGGGATACACGCGAGACGCGCAACCGCGGCATCTCCTTCCACAGGTCAGCGCGCGTGCGTGCTGGCGCGAGGGGGCTCCGCATGCGCATGCGCTGGAGTTGCCCGCCTCGTTAGGCCGCAACTGCGCCTGTGTCCCGAACCTTCCTGAGGTCCAGGCGGGGCTTGAGCTTGTGGGTTCGTGAGGGCGAAAGGGGCGGTCCCAGTGGGACCAAGTCCAATCGGGAAAGGCAGGATGGAAGGTTTACCAGGCTTGAATCTGCTGCTCTCTGACTCGTAACTGCTAGGTGACGCTGAGCTAGTTGCTTTTATTGTCGAGGCCTCAGTTTCCCCGTTTGTGCCCAGGCGGGCGGTGCTTACCCGGCAGGGTCGCAGGGAGGTCTCGTGGCGGCGTATTCTGGGTCTGCTTTTCCGGTCTGGGGAGCTTGGGTAGCATGAGTCCAGGGAAGCAGACAGCCTGGGGCTCACGGGTTTGGCTCCACAGACTTCCCAAGAAGGACAATCCGAGGCGAGGCTTGTGGCTGGCCAACTGCCAGCGGCTGGACCCCAGCGGCCAGGGCCTGTGGGATCCGGCGTCTGAGTACATCTACTTCTGCTCCAAACACTTCGAGGAGAACTGCTTTGAGCTGGTGGGAATCAGGTGGGCCTCCTCGCTGGCCAGCACTGTGGAAGGGTGTGGGGGCTCTGGGGACCCATTGGAGCAGCTGTAGGTGCTGGAAGTCCTTGAGCGCTCAGCTGGCATGACGACAGTCTGCCGGGCCGGTGATTGCTCCCAAAAGTGCTGTTTCCTCTTCCCGGCTCTGTACGGTAAAACCCCCCCCCAAGATCACTGCCACTGACACAAGAGAAAAACATGAGCCTTTCCACAGGGTATTCAGAGCCCGAGTCCCCAGCAAGTCCACGAATTAAATCTTTTTGGCTGGTCAACCCAGCTCTGTCTGGGGAGCCTCTCCACGCACCTCAACTTTGAGGAGTTCTGCAGGGAGATTGGTGTAACTAGCTAATGTGTTTGCCCAATGCCTTCTGGCCCCCCACAACACTAGCACTGGGAACTCACTCAGGCTTACTGGCTCTTTGCCCCCGATTGGCCTGGGGAGGCAGCACTTGCTCTCCAGTCATCTGGGCTGCTTTTCCCCACAGCGGGTATCACAGGCTGAAGGAGGGAGCAGTCCCCACCATATTCGAGTCCTTCTCCAAGTTACGCCGGACAGCCAAAACCAAGGGACACAGTTACCCACCTGGCACCCCCGAAGTAAGCCGGCTTCGGCGATGCAGAAAACGGTATGTGCTACAGGGTGGGGAATACCCTACTCCCACCTCAAGGCAGAGGGACTGGGATTTAGGGTATTTGCCAGCAGCCTTGCTGAACCGGGCTCGTGCTGCACAGAACCTGTAGAGTGGGTTCAGGTGTTCGAGGGTCAGGTGGGTTAGTGGAGTGGGGTTGACAAGCTCTTAGCCTGGCCCATTAGTCTGTCTGTCTTTTTTCCTTAGCTGCCCTGAAGGCCGAGGGCCTACAACTCCATTTTCTCCACCTCCACCAGCTGATGTCACTTGCTTTCCTGTGGAAGAGGCCTCAGCACCTGCCACATTGCCTGCCTCCCCAGCTGGGAGGCTGGAGCCTGGCCTTAGCAGCCCCTTCTCAGACCTTCTGGGCCCTCTGGGTGCCCAAGCAGATGAAGCAGGCTGTAGTGCCCAGCCCTCGCCAGAGCGGCAGCCCTCCCCTCTTGAGCCACGGCCTGTCTCCCCCTCAGCCTACATGTTGCGCCTGCCGCCACCTGCTGGAGCCTATATCCAGAATGAGCACAGCTACCAGGTGGGCAGTGCCCTGCTCTGGAAGAGGCGGGCTGAGGCAGCCCTTGATGCCCTGGACAAGGCCCAGCGCCAGCTACAGGCCTGCAAGCGACGGGAACAGCGGCTGCGGCTACGGCTGACCAAGCTACAGCAGGAGCGGGCACGGGAGAAGCGGGCACAGGCGGATGCCCGCCAGACTCTGAAGGAGCATGTGCAGGACTTTGCCATGCAGCTGAGCAGCAGCATGGCCTGAAGGGTGGCCAGACTGAGGGGCTGCCCAACAAGGACATGGCCTCTCCCTCCCTCAGAATCCACCTGGATAGGAATCACCTGGTACCATAATAAAGTGGATTCTAGAAGGAGGCCCTGCTGTCTGGCTTAGCTGGGGACTAGAGCCCCTCTGGATACTTGTTTCCCCCAGACAGTGGCTACAGCTTCCACAGGGCTCTTGGCTGTGGGAGGCAGAGAGCCCACCTTATCCTGCAGTGCTAAGGGGGACAGATGGCAGGCACCCGTCTGCCCAAGCAGCTCTGTGCCCCACAGGATTCACTGAAGGAGTGGGATGGTGTGAGGGCCAGCACTAGGCACCCTTGCCTTGAGACCTGAAACAGACTTGACTTAAGCAAGTCAATGGCTTTGAAAACACTTGTAAAACCCAGTCCAGACTCAGTTCTTCTGCAGAGGCACAACAGGCTTCTGTCCATGGGCCTCACCTGCCTGATGAGTCAGCAGGCCAGTCCCCTGACACTGCCCCTGCTCACCATCAGGTCTGTTTCTATCTGAAAAGTGGGAATAAATGAAGACAGGTACTGACCTGGGTGGCTGTGCTTGGCAGACAGGCCCTAACAAATGATATTTCTAGTCCCTGGAAGTCTAGGAAGAAGTGAGTAGAACTTAAGAGGCAAGCACATAAGTCCTAGCTTCAGTGGCCTTATTTTGTTTCCATTCTGGAACCTAAAGACCTGACTGTAAGCACAGCTTCCTCCTGCTTTACCAAGAAGCACAGCTGAATTCTTTCTGGTCACAGAACCTGCCACATGATGCTCTGAAATATGCTCTGTAGGGCCCTTGGTGTATAACTTTATTCATGTAGTGTCTAGAAGAGACAGCTGAGAAACTGTTACAAAAGTCAGCATAGAGCAGGGTTTGTAGGTTGTCAGGGAAGCTTCCAGGCTGGCCCCTCCAAGAGGGCTTTAATGGATACAGCTGCCATGTGGGTGTAGCAAGAGCCACATCTTGTGGAGATGGTAGGTGCTGTGCCCTTAGCACAACTGCCCCTCAGCTTAGCTTCTTGCCTCAGCTCCTGCCCTCCTCCCTTGCTTCCCAGCTCACCTTATACAGGTCACTTCCTTGCCTGCTGACTGACTAGATCCACTCCTGTTAGCTAAGGATACCCGATTTGCCACACAGGGCCTCATTCTCATGCACAGTCACTGGGGGCCACAGCCACGGCAGGGCCATGTTTGTGTGGCAAACAACCAGAGGAAGGGAATCCGTTTTCTTCCAGGACAAGAGAGCAGGTGATTTCCCTTCATGAGCTCTGGCTTTGTGGCAGCCAGGACCAAAAGGGGTCCTGGAATCTTCTTAGGCAGAACTGGGCCTCAGGGTGGATCCACAGGACCTTCCCTAGGATAACAGGGACGATACACTGGGCTGTGCAGCTCTCAGCCCAGGCAGGAGGGCAGCCTGCTTTGCATGGGAGCCAACGTAGCATGGGAGCACCCACCTTAGGCTTCCAGGATTCCCCTCCCACGGCCCCTCTTCCCCCTTGTGACTGGGTGACTCCAGGTAGGGATAAGTCGTTGCTGACAACATAGATAGACAGGCAAGATCATCTGGGGGTCCACCAAGCCATCAGGCCGTACAGCTGGTCCTCTACTACAGGAGGACTGAGGCCAGAAGTTAGCAGTGGAGACCAGACATGTAGTAGGAGCACTGCTATGGTTTTAATGGAGGGATGTCTATGGCAGTAAATACTTAGTGTGGGACATAGGGACCAGGAGGAACCTCTGCTGACTTTTCCTTTGCCCAGCCCTGAGTTCCAATTACACGCACATGGGTGGGCAGAGTCTTGCAGCCTCCAGGGAAGCCAGGCCCAGCCCAGCATGACTGATCCCTCAGCTGGGAGTTGCCCTTAGGGCCCTTTACTTCAAAATTCATTTCAAGTCAGCTCCAGGCAGCAAGATAGACCCCTCACACTGACCTCAGTGAAGATGGACTTCCTGGTGCTACATCAATTTTGCCATTCCCCTTTCCCACATCAGAGGGGCCCGAATCCACACACCTGGGTCACAGGCCAGGCTGAGCCTCCCAGAGCACATGCCTGGGCCCTGCCAGATGGGAGGCTCAAGGCCCTACTCCCTATCTCCACTCAATTCTGAGCAGTGTCCCCAACAATGAGCCATGGCCAGGAGAGGATGCCAGCCAGGAGGGGTCTGTTTCACCATCCACTGTAGGACCTCAGTGAAATGAGGCATTTTGGGCCCCAGACCTCCTCAGCCCTGGGCACCACCCTGGCCCTGGGACTGGCAGGTCCACCCACTCTGTTGCAGGCCAGGTGTGGCTAATGCAGTCTTGACAGCAAGCAGGGCAGGCAGGCACAGTGATTCTTCACACCGGGTGGGCGCTGCAGGGCCTCAGATGTCGGCGCCCAGCTCTGCGCATTGCTTGTCAGAAATGTGGGAGGCCAGGGAGTCTATGATGTCCAGCAGCAGCTGCTGGCTCAGTGACCGCAGTGTGGGCAGCTTGGAGACCTGCCAAGGCAACCAGGTCAGATGAGACGGAACTGGATTCGCAAGAGGGGCCGGGGTGGATGATGGGGTTTGCTGGGGTCTACCCTGCCCGGTCTCAGGCTGCTCTGCTTGGCTCATCCCGAGCCCAGGCACTCCTCTAGCCTGATTGCACCACAGCCCGGGGGAGGCAGGGCCCTGACCTTGGTGAACTGGTGCACGATGATATGCAGGCAGTGTCGCTTCATGTCCAGTGCCTGCGTCTTGTCAGCTGCTTCCAGGATCTGCAAAGGCAGGGACGTTGAGGCACTGCCCTCAACCCCACCCTCAGCAGGGCGGCGCAGCTAAAGGTATGGGGCTACCTGCAGCACGTTCTGCACTGTCACGTTCATCTCCAGGTTCTGCTTGCAGTATGCCTGCAGCCGATTGTTGTAAAAGCCGTAGTAGTAGGGGGCAGCAAACAGGTAGCTGGGAGCTGGTTAAGGAGCTGACCAAAGAGAGTTGGTCCTCCTGCCCAGTCACCCACCTCCTCGTCCTCATCCTGGAAGGGTGCAACAGCTGGATCCCCATGCCCACCGCAAGCCAGGCACTGATCCAGCCAGACACTGGCTTCCTCTCTAAACGGGTTCTGAGCCACCTAGTGGGTCAAAATCCTCACTCCAGATCCATAGAAAACCATAATCCTCTCCTTGAAAAAACCCATCTGCACATCTGTAGAACTCTTCACAGACCCACAAACCCTAAAGGGAATCCTTGCACCCATGTTCAGATCCCCACTGAAGTAACATTCCAGGAGTCACTCCACATTTGTCTGCTCACCTGTCGCCCAGAACAAGGACCAACCCCATCATCCACATGGTTGAGGGTCAAGAACCCACTCATCCCTCCTGGCTGCAAACCCCTTCCTGTCAGCTGCCAACTGCTTCAGAGACCCAGGAGAGCACCGGGCCCAGCACCAGGCACCAGCAAATCCTCTGGATTGAGGAGCCGGGCCCAGATCACCCAGCCAAGACAGGGCATGAGGATGCAGTGAGTCCTCGGGTGGCATGTTGACCTCGCCATAGTAGATGTAGCGCAGCATGGACTCGAAGGCCTGCCTGCTGGGCACCATCTCCCCAATGGAGATGTTCACCTGCCCATCCTCTGGCATGAAGGACCGGAACATGGCCTCAAAGTAGCTGCAGACAGAGGGTGGTGGATGCCTAGCTCTCAGTAGGATGCAGCCAGCATCTGGGCCTTCCCTGCCCTCTCATCCCAGCCTACCCACCTGGAACGGGCAGCCAGGATGGCCTTGTGGGCCGGCCTCGGGTGCCCGTCCAGCAGCAGCGTGATGTCACAGAACTCTGTGCCTGCTCCCTCCAGGTATGCCTTCATGTCTTGGATCAGAGATGTGCCTGGGGGTGGGAGGGACCCTGAGCATATTCATACCCAACTCTGAGTGAGGGGACAGCTTCAGATTCTGGTCTCAGGACCCCACATGCACTACCTTCTGCCCATCTGCCCCTGTCACTGCCCTGAATGAAGCCTCCCCCAGGTCACAGGCCTCACTCTGGCGCCCTGAGCACCCACAGCCCTGATCTCTCCTCTCTCAGTCCCCCAGGCTGACTTGAGCACTGTGCCCCAAACACGGTACCCAGGCCTGCCCTCTAATGTCTCATCTTCCATTCAGCCCACTGTGTCCCCTCACTGTCCTCATGCTGAGCCCCCTCCAGGCCCACCACATGGCCTCTGCTGTCTCCAGGTGTCACCAAGAGCTAACAGCCAACGTCAGCTTGAGCCTCAGGAAGAGCTGGGAGAATTAAGGGGGCTGTGACATCTCTGCACAGGTGGTGTGAACAAGGAGGTAGCAGGAGCACCTGAAGTCTGTGGGCTGTTCTTACCTGTTACTGTGCCTAAGAGAAGCTCGGTGGCTGATCACTGTGACCCTAAGCCATCAGACGTAACATCCCAGCTAGGCAGCTAGGGAGAGGAGCCCTGTGTCCACCCCCAGAAATAGGCTCAGGAGATCCTGACTCGCCAGCACACAGCTCACTGTGGCAAGGCCCTTGGGTTGGGAACTTCTTCCTTCAAGGAAGCCTAACCACCTCCATCTGGCCCTGGCCTGTGTCCAGGAGGGCACTTGGGGCATGGCATCTGCCCCCACCCCAAGGACCTGGCAGGTGCTTCCCATGGCTCTTGCCCCAAATGTACTCCATTCCTCTTGCCCCTCAAGGAAGGTGAACAGGGTTCCCTACCAATGTCTACAGGCTGGTCCGAGGGGGAACGAGGGGGCGGCTGCTGCTTCCGCCGTACAATCTCCACTATCAGTGGGGACGAGAGGCGCTCAAACTCCTTCATCATGATCACCTGGTTGAAGTGGGACTCCTTCACCACGAAGTTCAGGCAGTGCTCCTGGGACAGACAGGCATGGGCAGGCAGGCGGGGTCAAGCCAGGCTCCAGGCTAAGGGTGGGGCTTGCCATGGTGGATGGGAAGGAGAGGCCTTGGCTAGGTGTGCCCATCCAGCCAGCAGGGCCCGCCGCAAGCACTCCAGTGCAAGCTAATTCCACCTTGTACCTTGAGCTGGCCCAGCTGTAGCCGGGCAGCACTCTCGCACACGACCAGCACATTCTGCAGGTCCACAGAAGCCTCGATGTACTGGCGGCACAGCTGTTCCAGGCGGCACAGCTGGAAGCTCAGCGCCAGCTTGTATACGTCCATGATGAGCAGCACGTCCTCCACATGGCCTGTGCCCAAGAGCCCTTGAGTCTCAGGGATCCTGGGGAGGGGAAGGCGGAGGACAGGGCCCAGGGCTCCCCACATGGATGAATGGGTTGGGGCTCTCAGGTGAGAACAAGGCCTTGGGAGCCTTGGATGACAGCTGGGCCACATGTCAGCTGCTGTGATCATGAGGGATGGAGGATGAGCCTCCAGGGACCCATCTGCAAGGTGGGGCTGGCAGCTCCCTATTCCTGGCTCCGCTGTCAGCACCCCACCCCCCACTTCCACCCCAGCGAACCTTTTCGTGGGTATTTGATCTTGTCAGTGTAGAGGAACTGCATGAGCACCTCGAAGGGCCGGGCCTCAGCCTCCCGGATGGCCACATGCAGCAGGGGTGGCCGGGTCCCCCCGACAGCAGCACCAGGTGGCTCCCTGGGAGTTAGGGCTGCCTCCTCCTCCAGCTTCTGTGAGGAGAAGGGAGCTCAAGAGCACTCCAGTGGACAACGGACACAGCTGCCTGGTCATGGTAGAGGGGGTGGGCGCCTCACCTGGGCCAGCCGCTCCCGTGCCTGTGTGATCTTCCTACGGAGCCAGCGGCTCCGCGCAGTGACGATAGCCACGTGGCCCTGCACACACTCCTCCTTCTGCACAAAGAACCATGCATGGGTGGAGGGCACAGGACGTTTGCCCCAGAGGGTGGAGCCGACCAGGGCAGGCACTGCTGGGCAGGCAGCCTTGCCTCTGAGGGGCGAAGCTCCCCCTCCTCAGGCACAGCAGTGGGCTGGGCATGAGGAAGGGCACCCACCTCACCCAGCACAAACTCCACGTCACAGAACTGGCGGCTCTCCCACAGCCGCCCATAGTCTTCATGCAGCGTGCACTTGGGGTAACAGGAGAACTGCAGGAGGGGACCACGTGTTGCCAGGTGTCAAGGGCAGCAGGGCAGTCCCAGGGTGGCCATCAGGCTGATCTTGAGGTTCCCGTGAGCCCATGCTGACCCTCAGGGCCCACATGGCAGGTGGGCCTGGCTGAGGAGAGGAAGCAGTGCCCCCCACCCTACAGGCCTGCCCCACTCTGGGCTTCAGCACCTGCAACCATCCAGGCCCCACACCACAAGTGGCTGCCTCCACTACTCTTGCTTCTCCCTGCCAGGCCAACACAGGACTGTGCCATCTCCACTCTATGCCTGGACCTGTGTGTTCATGCTGGTCCTGCCAGCATACCCCAAGCTCCTCCATGAAGTTGGCTCTTAACCCAGTTCCCATGGGTCCCCATCCTGACCACTAGCTCCTCCAGGCCTAGGAAGGGGCTGCCAAGGTCAGCTTGGGCTGTGCCCTCCTCTGGCTATGAGTGCGCTGAGGGTACAGTGCTGAGCCCAGCTCACCCAGCTCCCTCCATTGCCTCTGCTAAGCCCCCACACTCTGCTCTGAAGCCGAAGGTCCACCTATCCCGCTCTGCACTGAGGCTGCCCCACCCCAGTGTCACCTCATCTTCCCTCGACCTAGAGGCCCCAGCCCAGCCTCAGGCTTCCATCCTGCCAGGCTGGGCCCCACAAAAGGCACCCTCAGGAAAGCCCCATCCCACTCACTGGGCCTCAGTTTCTTATCACTGGTAGCCCATCCACCCCAGATGTCCCGTAGGTTGATGAGCCCCACACCTGGAACCTGTACATCTCCCCACTGCGGATGTTGTTGTCCACGGTGCCTCCAAAGATGTACATGGCATCTGAGATGACAGCAGCTGCATGGAAGAGCCTCCCACTGGGCAGCTGGGGAGACAACGAGGCAGGTGGAATGGGTGAATAGGGTCTCCACAGTGCAACTGGCTGTGGCCAAGCTGTGGGCAAGGATGTGGTACCACATGGCCATGAAGGAGAGACCAGAGAGTATGGTCCCCAAGGGCAGAAACCTCCAGGTGCAGCTGTAGGCACAGGCAAGAGCTAGTGCCCCTGGGGGCAAGTGGGGTACAATGGGCCATGCAGACCCACAGAGTGGACAGAGTATGCAGGCTAGCGTGCACCAGCCCCAGTGGGTGCATCCTGCAGCAGGAACCCCGAGAGGCATAACTGGCCAGCAGGGTGCGGGCTCCTGGCTCTGCACCTCCTTTGTGGTGTGACTCCATGCGAGTACTTCTTGGGCCTTGGTCACCCCATCTGCAAGAGGGGCAATCACAAGACCTGTTTCAGGGGGTGAAGGGGCCTTAACAAGGGTCCCTGACCCATACCTCTGAGGCCAGCTGGACAGGCTGCCTGGCTGAGGTGGTGCCAAAGTCCAGGCCAAACACATCCCGGGACTTCTTGAAGCTGCCCCGTTCCTCAGAGGTCAGGCTAGGCACCTCCTCAGAAGCAGACACTCGCTCGGGCACCTCAGCCCCACCAACCTGGTGGGAGAGACATGTGGATGTGGGACGTCAGCAGGGGTTGGTCAGGCACCCAGAGACCGGCCTACCATCCTGGTGGAGAACACTGTGGGGCCAGAGGAGGGAAGAGCCACAAGAGGAGGACACTCACTGCATAGCTGCAAAAGGCCTGGCTGGTGAGCAAGATGGGCTTCCCAGGAACAGTTTGCAGCATAGCAGTCCAGGGCAGACACCATGGGGTGTGGAGTGTTAAAAGGCTGCAGGCTGCTGAACTTGGTGGCTCAGCCTGTAATCCCAGCACTTTAGGAGGCTGAGGTGAGTGCATTGCCTGAGTCCGAGGGGTCAAGACTAGCCCAGGTAACTTGGCAAGACCTCATCTCTACAATAAACAGAAAATTAGCCAGGTGTGGTAGCATGTGCCTGTATTTCTGGCTACTTGGGAGGCTGAGGTGGAAAGATTGCCAGAGTCCAGCAGGTCGATGCTGAGGTGGCCATGAGTGTGCCACTGCACTCCAGCTGGGCGACAGAGTGAGATTCCAACTAAAAAAAAAACCCCAAAAAACAAAAAAAACAGCTGCAAGCTGCAGGATGAAAATGGGGCAATCGGGCCTGAGGGACTAGTGTCTGGGCTGAGGCCCTGGGCATCCTGGCTTTGCTCCTGGTGGCTGTCTGGACACCTAAGAAGCCCCCAAGGCTGTGAAGCATGGAGAGAAGGTGGGAGCAAGATGGAAGCCATTGGCATCCAACCAGTGGTTCGGAAGTCCTTGGGGACTCCCACCATGCCCAAGGACTGGCAGCACTCACCTCACTGTCAGAGCAGGGCTGGACAACCTCCCAAGTCTGGAAGTCCACGTCATAGCAATGCAGTTCGTTGGGCAGTGTGTTGTCAGCTGCACCCCCAAATACATAGAGGTGGCGGTCAAAGGCCACCATGGTGTGCCCGTAACGTCGCTGTGGAGGTGGTGGGGAGCCCCGGAGCAGGTGTTCAGTGGGGATGCGTGTCCACCTGGGGGCCCATGACAGTGAACCAATGCCAGGTCAGGGGCTCCTGCTTCCAGAGACTTCCCCACAGCAACCCCTTTCTGGGAAGTCCCCATATGGCTCCTATGGTGGCCAGTTCAGGGTCCAGAGGGAGGGCCTGGATGGTGTGCCCAGTTCACCCCATTCAGCTCTGGCACCAGCCCTGCCCTCCCCACATGGCCCACCATGGGGGTCCTGCCAGAACCCCCTCCCCATGGAGCAGGCACAAGTGACAGGGCAGGAGGGTGGCATCTGACCTCCCGGGCAATTCTGCTCCCTGAGGAGTGGTGTCATGTAGACACATACGTGTCATAGTAGGTCACTGTGCTCATGCCACCCAGTTGGCCAAGCCCCTGACTTGGGAGCTACCTGGACCTTTCACTACGAAGCTGCTCCTACAACTTCCTTTCCACCTTCCAAAGGCTTCCCAGCCTCTTCCAGCAAACCTTCTTTTGCTAGGTTAGCTGAAGACTCAGAACAGATCCTGGCCTGACAGGGCTATGCCATCTGCTCCATGCTGACCCCATCATGCAACAGGTTGCCTCCACCTGGCCTCCAGGGAAGCTCCCAAGTCCCCTCCCAAGTCCCTTTCACCTGCAGACTCCTTGCTCCTTCTCTATCTGCTCCCAGAGCCAGGAGCCAGCTCCATCAGAAGGGTTGTGGGTCAGCTGGCAAGGGCAGCACAGGCCAGAGCTCATGGGACCTGCACACCCCTCCAGTCTTCTGCCATCAGATGGGATTAATGCTGGCCATGCTTACTACTATTAATGCAAGCCATTCCCGGGGTGGGAGCCACCTTCATGCTCAGAGGGAGGCCCAGGCTCTATCTTGCTGAGCTACAGCCATTCCCCAAGGGATCTGCCTGGGGCATCCACATATCCCTGCTCCCAGCTGTAAGCTATTATATGTGAATGGTTACCGTGGCCATGGCCACCAGGTGCAGCAGGAACACTGTGCCCACTCCGTTCCACTAGGGCACTCACGTTTTGTCCTTAAATTCAAACTGGAAGAGGTTGTTGGTTATCTTGGCTCCACTCTGCCCCGAGAACACAAACATCTTGTCCTGGCATATGGCCACAGGGAAGTTACAGCAAGACGGTGGGATCTCACCACTCTGGGCCACCTGGGGCAGAGGGTGGGAGGGGATGGCTCAGCCAGGCCTCACAGGACCCTGCTCACACTTCACCACACTCAGACTGCTGAACTGGGACTATTTTTATTCTTGAGACTTCTGTGAATGAGGGTTTGCAGATTAATTTTCTGCATAATGTCTTACAGCCCTATCTCCTCCACCTAGAAGGGCCCAATTCTGAACAGCTGTGACTAAAATCATATATTTCTACCAGGGAAAGAAAGCCCAGGGGGTCTCTAGCAAGCAGGACATTGACCAGTAGGATGCCTCACTATGTTGAAATAAGTGTAGATCAGACCAAAACCGAATCCCACACACGCTGAGAGGGCTGGGCAGGAGGTCAGGAGGAGAGTGAGGCTCAGGTTGCAGCTGGGCTTGGCAGGGAAAGAAAGCAGTGTCTGCTCCCACCCTGGCTCCCTGAGTCCCTCACCTCTTCCCAGCAGGTGAGCTCCCGGTCCTGGAGGCCAATCGTCCACATGTCATTCAACCTGCATTAGGAAAGAGAGGTCAGGACCCCCTGGGTTTGGCTATCAGGGTGGAACTGGTCCTAGCTGGAAAGTACATCTCCAGGGAAAAACAACCTACCAGCTGGGTTAAGGGAATACTGTGCAGCCCTGAGGTTGGGGCTTCAGTGTAAGGGTAGGGCACTGCACCAAGTCCCTGCTGTGCTAGGCCTCCTGCCCAGCCAGGATAGGAACAAGTAGCCTCCTGTACAACATCTGGGGCAGTGTGGCAGGGCCAGCCTCTTGCTTGGTGTCTCCCGGGCCAGAAGACCACAGATCTCACAGGTACCACCATCACCACTGCACCATTAGGAGTTTCTGTGATGCTGAAGTTTTGGGGGACCAAACACATGCTATTTTTGTAATCAGAAAAATTATAGCAAAAGATTTTCTAAAATGAGGAGAAAAACCTAGGCCAGAACCAGGGCTGGTATGAGCCCCAACACTGCCCATGCACCTACACCCTTGGCCTTCAGGGTAACTCCAGCTATGGTCCTAAGGGTCCTCATCCAAGCCAACTCAAAGGCCCACAGGTCAGGTGGGGGCTCCTCTCAGTGGTCCAATCTCATGCTGCCTCCTCTTCCCCCACACCCTCCTGAGAAACCCCATAAAGCAGCTCTCAAAAGCCACCGGGTGGACCCTTCCCTAAATGCCGGGAAGCCCACTCTGCACCTCAGTACACTGGGAGGCAGGTACACAGGCCATGCCATACCTACCTGGCATTGCCATCATAGCCGGCAAAGATCCACAGCTTGTCACTGTATACTGTGGCCCCATGGGCTGACCTGGCAACTGGCAACCTGGAACATTAGAGAGGAGGTGAAAAGTGAGGCAGCCCAGCAGAGACCTGAACCCCGCAGCCCCACACTGCCAGGCCAGGGGTCATAGCCAGGTTGCATGACCACATCCGCCTAACACTGGGACTCGAGGCCTCTGAAGGGCACTGGAAATAAGCACTGGCATCAGAGGCTGAGCATGTAAGGCAGAGTCGCAGCTAGATGAGGAATTCGGACATCTACACAGGCACAGAAGCTCCTCTCAGCTGCTACCAGAATATCAAAGGAGGCACTGGCCCTGAGCAGCGCCCATCAGTAGGATATTCAAGTCCCTTCTGAAAGAGCAGATTGAAAGGCTGAAGCAGGCCAGGCACAGCTGCAGAGGGAAGTGACCACTAAGACCTAGCTCCCATGCTGTATGCCCTCAGGCCTCCCCAAGCCCCAGGCTCCCTGTCTGTAATGCCACAGAGAGTGGACCCCAGGCCCATTGCCACCCAGTCCCAGTCTAGTTCCAAGTTACAGGAAAGTCTCTCACCGTCCTTCAATTTTCCACTCTGTCCACTGGCCTGTTGCAAACTTGTATTCAAAGAGGTCATTTTTATTCTTCAGGTTAGAATTGGAATAAATGTCCCCAGTGTAGCCCCCTGAGTGAAGAGTGAGAAATCGTCACAAACAAAACCAGTATTTAATCTTCAGACCCTGGAAAGTGGGACAGAATCTGGTCCCACTGAAAATGCATAAACCAGGACTCTTCCCACAAACCCTGGAAGTGTCCACTGACTGCCCCTGTGCTGGGCTCTGGGGTCACAGATGAGTAGGACACTGTTCTCTGCCCCAGCCCAGTCACCGAGGTAGACACCCAACCCTGTGAGATCAGGATGGTTAGGGAAAGGGGCCCGTGACTCAGCCCAGAATTCAGAAAGACACTGGCAAAGAGGGATGGACAGAGAGTCCCTGCCAGGCACAGCATGTGCCATGAGCCCTGGGCTTAGCATCTGTGGGCCCAGGAGAGGGCACAGCCTGGGGAGGTAAGAGGCTGCTCACCAAAGACAAACATGCTGCTCCCATAGACGACAGCCGAGTGGTGGTAGCGGGGGGCTGGCGGGGTCCCGGTGGTGAAGGCCCTGGGGTGGGCACAGGGTAGTGAGGGTCAGCGGGGTCAGCCACGTGGTCCACACAACCACAGGGCAGTTCTGCCACCTTCATCTTCCCTTCATTTTTGTATTTCAAAAATAATGCCTGTCTCATTGTAGAAACTTTTAAAAAATCACCAACAAAGAAAAAAACCAAAACAACAGGCACTAAAACTCACGCATGATCCCACTGCCAGAAAACTACTGTCAACACCATGAGGTCCTATGCATATGTATGCCTCTATGTAATATTTTAAGTGGAATTAGGCAGTAGATCTGTTGTAACTTGCTTATTCAGCGGAACACTAGAATGTGACTGGGTCGTTCATGCTACTCTAGGGACATTGTACCCGCATCTCGGCAGCTGCATGGTATTCTGCAGTGTTGGGTCCATACGTGGTATTTATTGAATTAAAAACCCAATTCCACTGCTTACCTAGCCCCATTTCTTTTTTGAGTTTTTTATTTATGCATAAGCAATTTTTTAAAGGTTCAATGAATGGTTATTTATTTATTATTTTTAGGTGTAAGATCTCACTCCATCACCTAGGCTGGAATACACTGGTACAATCATAGCTCACTGCAGCCTCGAACTCCTAGGCTCAAGTGATTCTCCTGCCTCAGTCTCCCAAGTAGCATGAACTACAGACCCACATCCAGCTAACTTTTAAAACTTTTTGTAGTGACAGGGTCTTGCTATATTGCCCAGGCTGGTCTTGAACTCCTGGCCTTAAGTGACCCTCCTGCCTCAGCTTCCCAAAACACTAGGATTACAGGCCTGAGCCACTGTAACAGCCTTTCCGATTCTCTTAATTAACAGACCCAAAACAATCAATTGCAGTCATGGACTGGAGATGAAGGAAGACAGAATGGCTCTAGGCATGTCATCCCAGAGGCCATCGTTATCTTCTCCTGAAGCTTCTCTTGAGTTTTCCACAATAAGCATGACTGCTGGGAACAGGGACCCAGCACAGCACTACTGTGTCCTAGAAGGACGTGCAGGGCCCTGGACACCAAAGCCACCCACCTGCACCAGGAGCAGTCTTTCACATCGAACCGCAGGAGATCATTGAGCATCGTCTTCCTGAAAGGCAGTTAGAGAGAGGGTGGTATGGGCAGGGTCTGCTCTGCAGGATACTGCCCCATCAGGACCCTGGAGATGGGTACTGCACACAACCAGGGTGAAGGGGGTGTGATTTTGGCTGAGTCACTGGCCCAGCCAAGCAACCAGTTGATACCCAAGGGACAAGAATCGTGACCATAAAGGCTCCCCAGCTGATGTGGATACTGGGACTCCCACACAGTTGGCCACCAGCCTGCCTAGGGTCAGGACCAAAGCATGGTCCCAGTCATCAGGAGCCCACCCAGCAACTGATGAGGGCACGAGACAGCCCAAAGGCCAAAGTCACTGCTCACACTTCATCACAGCTTCCAGAACCCTTATTCACACATCTCAACTCCTCTCCTCCAAGGCTTATCGACACATGAGGGGGGCCCCTTTTTACTTCTCTCTCATTTTCCTGCCACTTTTTTTAAATGACAAAGCTGACATAATAACTGCATTAAAAAGACCAAAAAAATGGAAAATAAGCCCACTGGTCGTTGTGCCACCTAACCCAAACAGCCTGCACATTACCACCCCGTCTTTGGAAAGAAGGGCAAACCGACAGGAGCCCAGAATGCCCTAATACCTAACACCCCTGTACTACCTCTCTCAGTCAGTACCAGGTGGATGCACTCCCACCTCCACTTCACAGAACATACAGTCTGGGAGAGACAAGGCTGTGCCTGAAGCCATGCAGCCAGGAAGCCAGGAGTAGCAGGTGGTATGACTAATTCCTCCCTACCCTCCCTCATCTGCCCCACCTGCTACAGGAAGCCATCTTTCTTTGTGCTCATATAGTCTTTATGAGGTTGCAGCTAGAATAAGACAAATTCATATCCTGCTTCTTAGTGTCACAATGTAACAAAAAATTTTTGGCTTACTGCTACACAGTTGTCATATAAACTATACCTGCTACAGTAGCAGTTCTCAATATTTTTGGCATCAGGGACCAGTTTTGTTGAAGACAATTTTTCCACGAATGTGGGGGTGCAATCAGGGTGGGGGAAAGGAGGATCATCAGGCATTAGGTTCTCATAAGGAGTGTGCAACCTAGATTCCTCACATGTGCAGTTCATAATAGGGTTCATGCTCCTCTGAAAATGTAATGCCACTGCTGATCTGATGAAGGCAGAACTCTGCTAGCTCACCGCTCACTTTCTAACAGGCCACAGATCAGTACTAGTTCATAGCCCGGGGGTTAAGGATCCCTGTGCTACAGGACAAGCAGAGGTGTCCCATTTTCTATCCACTGCCCTGTACCAGACACTCAGACCTTTTCTGGTTTGAAGAATTCTCATTAAGGCTCCAGGAAACATCTGTGGGTAGATGCCCTTCCTTATTCCATTCCACAAACATGTTTCATGTTGTCTGAGTGCCAGAAGACAGTGGTGAAAGGAGAACAGACCTTTCCTTGACTGAGGAGATGGATAACAACCAGTGTCTGTGTGCTTCACAGACAAATGGATATGGTAAGAGGTATGGAGGGGAGAAGGCTGCCAGTATGCCCAGGTGGTCAGGGAAGATCTCACTCACAAGGAGCATCAGAAGCTGGACAGGAAGGGAGGAGGGAACAGCCAGTGCAAAGGCCTGAGCAAGAGGGTGCTTGGTATAGTCCAGATGCAGCAAGGCAGCCAATGCAACCCCAGTGCAGCAAGGGGCCAAAGGCAGAGGAGCAGTGCCCTACAGACTGCCATGAAGACTTGGGCTTTTACTCAGAGAGGCAGAGAGATGTCACAGGGGGATGAGCCGAGGAAGAACAAGCTCTGACTTGGATTTGTTAATGGATCCCTTTGGCTGCTCTTGGGGAAGAAGACTGTGAGGGAGACAGGCTCAAAGCCAGGAGACCAGGTCCAGGAAGGCCCTCCTGCCCACTCTGCACGTCCTGGGGGGTCCACATGACCCTACCATCCCCAAGTTGGCTTCCCCAGAGAGTCCCGCACAACCAAGGTTGCAGGGCCAATAATAAGTCAGCACTTCTCCAGCTTCAGACTAGATCCTGGAGCTGGGGGGTGGAGCTAGGATGCATGGACATGACTGCTCATGCAAACACCTCACCCTCAGCATAGGGAAACTAGTCACAACTTAAATGGGGATAGTTCATGTGAATGAAGGTGTGCCCACCAACAGAACATCAGGTCACTGCCAGTAAGGCTGCTCAATGAAGTTTATAGCAGTGTGGGAAAACTCTCACAAATAGTGAACAGCACAAGAAATAAATAAAACTGTGCCATCTAGACCTTTCAGATGCAAAGACAGCATGTGAAAGAGCAGGGAAAGATGGTACCTGGCAGAGCTGGCAGCAAAAATAGATGTTTCTTTCAAGGCTATGTCTATTCATTCAGAAACAAATGGACATTTTCACATTCTGTGCGTGTGCTATCCACTATATGCTGTGCTGAGGACCTTGAGTGCAGGATCTAACTTAACCCTCAACACCACCAAGGAGGTGAGCACAGGGAATCTCACAGACTTAAAAAGTTTAGCCAATATCTGAAAGCACAGTAATGGGCCGGGCACGGTGCCTCATGCCTGCAATCCCAGCACTTTGCAAGGCAGAGGTAAGATAATTGCTTAAGGCCAGGGGTTCAAGACCAGCCTGGGCAACTTGGTGAGACCTTGTCTCTACAATAAACTTAAAAATTGCTGGGTGTGGTGGCATACACCTGTGACTTCAGCTACTTGGAAAGCTGAGGTGGAATGATCGCCTGAGTCAAGCAGGTCAGGCTACAGTGACTGTGAGAGTGCCACTGCACTGCAGCCTGAGTGACAGAGTAAGACTCCCACTCAAAAAATAGAAATAAATAAATAAAAGAACAAAAGAAAAGAAGTAATGGGGATGCACAGGCCCAGTCCCTGACCCCAATGCTTCTCCCCACCTGGTCCAAGCATCCTGACGCTCACTCACTCACCCATTATCTCCACCAAATACATAAATGGCATCTTTATAGGCCACCACGGTGTGCTTGCTGCGCCTGGAATGAAGAAAGGGGTGGAAGGTAGTGAGGAAAAGACCACCTTCGAAAGCATCCAAGGAATGGGATTAAGCATGAGAGCAGCTACAGAAGTTGGATGACACCTCTCAACTGCCGAGATCTATGGAAACCCCTAAATTCCACCAACACCCCAAAGGGCCCCGCAAGTGGGTAAACCCTGACACTGCCCCAGAATTCCCTGGACTCCTCACCCCATCGCACAGCACCTGGGACCCCAGCCCAATATCCACAAACACAACTTAGCTCCAGTACCCTGCCTGGGTCGGCCTACTTTGAGACTCCCTAGGACACCGCCCTGGACAGCTCTCCTCCGCCCACCACAAGATTCCACCCCAGGACGCTGCTTCCCGGCCTCGTCCCTGAACCCCGCCTTGGGACTCCCTCAGGTCTCCCTTGCCCTCAGAAGCCCCTCGAAGCCCACCGTACCGAGCACCCACAAACTCGTCGCAGGGTGGGAGACGCCGCCAGCGATGCACTGTTTCGAAGGGCCCGAAGTTGAGCGTCAAGTACTCGACGCTGTCCGAGCAGCTGTGGTCGAAGTCCACGCTCGGGGCTACCTTGGACCGCGCACCACCCGCCAGGGCCCCGGCCCCGATGGGACCGCCTGAGCCGCCCGGCCCAGCCATCCAGGGTCCACGCCCGATCGGCCGCCCCTTCCACAGGACTGGCGGCCACCGCCCCAGGCCGCCCTGAGGGACCACATTTCCCAGCGAGCCCTGCGCCAACGGCGCGGCTCTTCCGGTCAGCGTCGCACTTCCGCTCGTCCACATTTCCCGACAAGCCTAGCGCTCGTCGTGCTGCCGCGGGCGAACGAGGGACCTGGTTGGCAACTGTGTGGCTAGCACGTAACTGTTTGAGCAGCATTTTGGGCCCTATAGGAGTGGCTGGTTACCCCTTTCAGTGACTGCGGCGCCCTGTCTCTAACCCGTCGAGACTATTCCCGGCCCCTGCCAGGCCTCGCCGCCCGAAGACGCTCCGCAGCGGGCCGGAAGTTCCCGGCATGCCTTGTGTCGGTGCGTAGCTCTGGCCCCGATCGTCCGCTGCTCCCGGAAACTCAGATGTAGGGTTCTGAGCACGCAGCGGCCTCTGCTGGCAACTCGACAGCCTGCTTACGCCCCCAGCCCTGATTCCCGCGTCTCGTCTCTTCCCTTGGCGTTCTTATTGATTGGAGGGCTGAGTGGGGCGGGACCTCTGGATTCCCATTCTACTTAATAGCAGCGCTTCAGCTTCTACACCTGCGAAACGGGGATTGAACTCCGGCTGCTGTGAGAAGCATAAGGCCTGTCTCAGGGCCCGGCTTCTACAGTGCTAAGGAGGCACATCCCTCAAAGTGTCGCGCACGAGCTGCCTCTGACCTCTTAAGCATTTCCTGTCTCAAGCTGTTTGCATGTTCCTTCCAACTGGACTACCCTTCCTTCAAAATTCAGATCACAGGTGCTGGAAAAACCTTCCTTCACCGCCGGGTCGAGGGGAGGAATGGGGGACAGAATCAGTTGCTGTCTCCTCTGGGCGCTCACAGGCCTAACTTCCTTGGTGTGACACTTAGCATTCCGTGATGATTATCTGTTTCCCCAGTGGTCTGCTTTCTTCTTCATGAGGGTTGTTGACCCATTTACACTGGAAGTCATACAGATATGCAAATGTGTGCATTTTAATTTTAGAATAATGTCTAACATTTTGCATGGTTCTGCAAGGGGCCAGTCCCAACAGAAGGAGAAGAGACAGGGCTTAGTCCTGTCTGCATTGCCAGCTGTCAATGGCAGCAGAGGCCTTATGGGTTGAGCATCTTCTGGAGGCAACAGAGGCCTCCCTGGAGGGGAGCCAGACAGCTGAAGGCAGATACTGGAAGAGCTCAGGTTCTGCCCTGAGGGATCCTGGGAAATTGGAGATTGGCACCTGTCCCCAGAGCTTGGCCTCTGCCCCTGGTGCCCTACTGTGCCTGCCCAAGTTCACTGTATGCGAGCTCAGGATCCTTTTCCGGTAAGCCAAGACATGTCGCCAGTCCTGCGGAAATGAGATGAGGAAGGATCAGGGCAGAAAAAGAGAGAGGTTCCCCACTCCGGGCACCATGAGCAGCTGATCCTTGAGGACAGCAAAAGACCTGCTCTGTGCCAGCTCTGGTGCTCAGCAGGGATGTGAACTTGGGTAGACTGTTAGGTGGAGGGTCTGGGCTGAGATGGAAAAGGCTCAGGGCAGTCAACAGAAAGGACAGAGGACACACGTACTTGCTGTGCAGCATAAACAGCCTTTGCGAAGGCAAGAGGGAGAAACAGAAACAAGGCCAGGAAGAAAGCATGTCACTTATCACATCCCCTCTTGGTCCTCCATTGTTTCCATCCTGAGGCCTACCCCTCTCTTGTGGCCTCTAGCCCCCCAGTGGCCTCCAGGTTTTCACCAGTCCCTGAGAGCTTCTCCCAATGGTGACTTTCATTGCCACATGCCAGTGTCCCCCCTAGAATCACCCCCATGTCTTCCTGGCAGACACCCAGGGACATTACTAGCTGCATTCCCCACATAGCTTCTGCCAGGCTCAGCACAACCATGTTCAGCTATGTGTCCCTGGCCTGGCGACTGCTCAAGTGGTAGGCCTTGAGCCCTCCCCCACAGCACCAGGTCTGCTCTGGAAAATACAACTCCTTTCCCTTCTGTCCACTGTAAGCACCTATAACCAGCCCACTCCCAAACCACAATCCTTGCCCCACAACTCCTGTATTCCTAGGCGCCTGGGTCTGATGGGCACCAAGAGCGAGGGGAAGGGCCCTGGAGGGCTGTGGGGGCAGCTGGATGCCATCGGCAGTTTGAGACGGTCCTCCAGAGAACTCCTCCCCACCGAGCCTCCCACGCCCACACTCACTCCACCTCCCGTTTCCGGATGGCGCGGCCGGAGCCTAGCACCTCAGCCACCTTGGACACGATGGGATCATAGTTCATGCTGGCCACAGCGATCACCTCGTCACCTCTGCAGGAAGACAGTGACCGAACCTGAGGACTGCCCAGCAGCAGCCCCCTTCTTGAAGATATTGACTCAGTCCTGTCTACCTGGGGCCCAGAGAGGGACCCTGCCCAGGGAAACAGGAATGTCCCAAGCACCCAGACCTCCCTGCTCTGCGCTTTACGGTTTAACCCAGCACAAGATTCAGGCTTCTCCAGGGAAGCTCCAGCCTTCCTCCCCAGCAGAGCTTGGAGCTGGGCTCCTGTCCTGGTATCTTGTCTGGGATCAGTCCCTGCTTCCCGACCAAGCTCCCGCTACATCCCGTTGCTCTCACTTCGTGTAAAAAGCCACAAACTTCAGCTCCTCTAGATCCCCCTGGATGATGACGTCGTCGAAGCCTTCTCCGTAGCCTAAGGGCCGGACAGGCGGGTGGCACCCATGTGAGCCGCGGGATGGGATGGAGGCTTCACAGGGTCTGCGCCCTGTGCCCTCCTGACCCCGCCCTGGACCCTCCCCCCCCACAGGCGGGGCGCCCTAAGACCTTTTAGGTAGTCCCGAGCCCCGCCCCCGGCAAGAGCTCGGCGGCTATTTCTTGACGCGGCCATAGCCCCGCCCACGTCAAGCCCCGCCCCTACGCGCTTCTGGCCCCGCCCGCCCGAGGCCCAGGAGGTTACCCGCGTAGCGCAGGCTCTTGCCGAACATCGCGGTCCAGAGGTAGGGAACGGTGCTGATCTCCGCCTCCTGCGCCAGCATGTTCTGGGCCGCCACGCGTCCTGCGGGACTCAGGGCCGTGAGACCCCGACACCCCCAAACCACCTGTCCCCGGGCGCTACGAGGTATCATCGCCCAGCCCACAGCCCACCCGCGGGTGCAGCTGACTGGTGCAGAGGGGGACACCTGACTCCAAGCTAGCCACTTAGTCTGCTTCTCTGGAGAACGTGAATGAGGTGCCCTGCCTCTGGAAGGTCTGCTTCTTGGGGCTGGGACTGAAGAGGAAGACGAGGGGGCCGTAAGAATCCAGGGAAGCAGCTGGGCTTGGTGGCTCAGCCTGTAATCCCACGCCTTTGGGAGGCTGAGGTGAGTGGATTGCCTGAGCCCGCGGGTTGGAGACCCGCCTGGGCAGCGAGACCTCATCTCTACAGTAAATCAAAAAATCAGCCGGGCGTGGTAGCACGTGCCTGTAATTCCAGCTACTTGGAAGGCTGAGGCGGAAGGATCGCCAGAGCCCAGCAGGTCGAGGCTGCGGTGGCCGGGAGCGGCCACTGCACTCCAGTCTGGGCGACAGAGTGAGACTCCAACTCAAAAAAAAAAAAAAAAGAATCCAGGGAAGCACAGATTACAGCCACACTCAGGGCATTGGAGAGAATAGTGTGGTGGCTTCCCAGTTCCTATGAGGCTCCACTAGACCCCTGTATTTGGATGTACGTCAAAGTCCCCTGGACTCTCCCAGTAGCAGCAACTTTAGACCTTGGACTTGAACAGAAATTGGTACCAGGAGTGGGGCTTTGGACAGCAGACCCTCAGATAATGTAAAGGCAGAGAGAAGGAGGTGGGTGTAAAGTCCCTTGTTCCAGGCTGGAAATCTGGCAGTCCTCTCTGTGAGGCAGTGAGGTTGCTGACTTGCTGGCACTTTCAGCTTAGGGTCCTAGACTAGGTGTGCACAATGGGTGAAACTAGGGGACTTGGTGGTCACCAAATATGAGGAGAGGAAACACTATTTCTCAGAAAGTGCATTGTCCCCACGGAGCCCCTAGGTGACTGCCTTGGAGACCTGCAAGAGGCAACTGAACTCAGACAGTTGAGTGGCCCAAGGGAGACAGAGGAACTAAGTGGGAAGGTGACCTACTTATTCCCTCTCTCCCTTCCCAGGGTGACTGCACAGGTTAGTCAGGAATTCTGCAGAACATATGTCCCTAAGGACAAAAGGAGAGGAAACTAGTGGGAAACTGGGGGTGAGGGGTGGGACCGTATCTGGCTAAGTGCAGTGTCTGATGGGTACTGGAGTAAGGTCTCTGGAGATGGGCCACAGGGCTTGCTCTGTGTGCTTGATTATCTGGATGAGGCTGGCCCGAGAGGCCACAACAGAGCCTTAATGCCTAACACAGCGTCCAGAATCCACAACCAGCAGCTGAGGCATGGGCCTGGGGAGGCTGAGACCCAGGACTGCCTCCGATCCGTCAACTTGCCTCAGGGCTGGCCATACCCTGTGCATGAGCCATCTGCCAGTGTGGGATGTTCACTTTCCGGTTGTTCCTCCAGGCAAGGGGGAAGGTGACGGCATCGCCAGCAGCAAACACACCTGGGATGTTGGTCTGCATCATCTGTGGGGACACAGCCCAAGGCTCCATGGGCAGGTCAAGGCGCTGCTGCCCCCAGCCCAGCAGCCCACCTCCCTATTCAGCCCCACCTTGTTGACAGGAATGAAGCCTCGGGAATCCAGGCTGATGCCACTCTGCCTCAGGAAGCCCGTGGCGGGCACTGCGCCTGACAGAACAGAGGACCCCGAGTCCATTCCCTGGTCCCACCCTTCTCTTTCTCCCACCTCATTGCTCTCCACGCCCCACACCCTTCACTTGCTGTGCCAGCTTCAGATGGATCATCCACAGGCTGCCTTCCCCACCCTATCTCCCCTGCCTGAACTCACACAGACCCCTATGCCTCCTATATCAGATCTCAGGTATCGCCTCCTCCAAGAAGTACTCCATGAAGCTCTCGGGTGGGGTGTTGGCATGCCAGCCCCTTAGCCCTGGTATTGCCACCTCCCAGCTTTGCCCCTCCCTAAACTGCACCTCAACTGGACCAAGAACCAGTTAGAGGTT